CCAATGATATGTAATTTATCATGCTGTCATACACTATTGTCTTAAGGGATGGGAGCTGAAGCTCGACGAGAATCCAATGTTTACGTTCCAAAACAGGGATAAACACCTGCAATCATAAGTAATAATTCATTCATTTGCGCACTTATTTCATATAACCTTTAAACTCAATCTAAAATAAATACTAACCTTATCGACCTCCCACCATGCAGGATAAAGTTTAGCTTGTCCATTGCCCAAATCAAATGATTCATCTCGTGCATTCTTCAAGTGAACGGCGTGAAAAGACGTCGGCATTATTGTATATCGTATATTTTATTTTTCTTAAGTTTTCTTATTATTAGAAGACGTGTCACCCACGCATCGATATGCTGTTTTACAAAAAAAGACATATATTAGTGACTTACATAAATTTAAAAAAAAATTAATCAAATTGAAATATAAGAAAAATATAAGACTTACCCCCCCATCGAAATAGCCATTGTCTTCGACCCCTAATAATACGCCCCACCAAGGCCGTTCAAGCAACAAAAAGATATCATCGGTGAGCTTGCATATGTCAGTGAAACACCCCTTGCTCCGCTCATGTAGATAAAAATCAACTGCGGTCTTAGCCCAAAGGGTGTTATCCAAAATTGTGTCCGGTAGTTGTTCCCTCTCCTCTTCAGATACCGGTATGGTACTGGCCGGTAACTCATACGAGAGCCAACTCTCATCCATCATGTCCGGAACCGGTGGGGGTTTCTCAATACTTCGATATATTACCCCATGTGAATCGGGCTCTGGAATGGTGGGAGGGACCTCTTCAACGATGACAGTTGCCTCTTGAACGGTGGGAGGGGACTCTCGAGGAATGATATGGGGGGCCTCTTCAACGATAGGAGTGGACTCTTGAGGGATGACAGGCGAGTCGGGCTTCTTCTTGCGGTGTCTTCGCACTATTGGGGTGTACGGAGACTTAATAGCACGTGCACGCTGTCTGATGCGTGAACTCCGTCGTGCAAGCATAACCCGACGTAAAGCATCCACTCTATCGGGCCGCTAAATAATTAAATACAAAAATCAGTAAATAAACAGACATGATATTTAAACAGTGAAAACAAAGACAAATATGTTTCAAACTTGCATTGTATTCACCCAAGTCATTATTCTATCATAGTTCACAAAATGCATCAGATAACAAAGAAAAATATGTTTCAAACTAATACCCTGAAGTTAGTATTTGTCTTTGATTTGTCTATTGGTTGAAGTAATGCAATCCATTCAAGTTTCAATTTGCAGAAGAAGAAATAGTTTACTTTCGCAACACGAAACTTAAAATCGCAACGCGAAACCAAAATCGCAACGCGAAATGAAAATCGCAACGACAGAATCGCAACGCGAAATGAAAATCGCAACGAAAGAATCGCAACGCGAAATGAAAATCGCAATGCGATTTTGGTTTCGCGTTGCGATCTTGTCGTTGCGATTTTGGTTTCGCGTTGCGATTCTGTCGTTGCGATTTTCATTTCGCGTTGCGATTTTGGTTTCGCGTTGCGATTTTAAGTTTCGTGTTGCGAAAGTAAACTATTTCTTCTTCTGCAAATTGAAACTTGAATGGATAAATTTACTTTCAACCAAAAGACAAAACAAAGACAAATACTATTTCACAGTGTTAAAGAATACACAGTTTAGCAGAATTGGCAGCAACCGAACAAATTTACTTTCAACCAAAAGACAAAACAAAGACAAATACTATTTCACAGTGTTAAAGAATACACAGTTTAGCAGAATTGGCAGCAACCGAACAAATTTACTTTCAACCAAAAGACAAAACAAAGACAAATATATTTCACAGTGTTAAAGAATACACAGTTTAGCAGAATTGGCAGCAACCGAACAAATTTACTTTCAACCAAAAGACAAAACAAAGACAAATACTATTTCACAGTGTTAAAGAATACACAGTTTAGCAGAATTGGCAGCAACCGAATAAATTTACTAAGCAATCTAAGTGAAATGGCTAATCTAAGTGAAATTACGAGTAAATTTATCATTAAGTTAAATATGGAAAATCTTAAACTTACCTCGTTGCGTAGAGTATGAACCTCATTCTGCAACGATACTATCATCTCACGTAGAGCGGCAACCTCACCACGTAAAGTTGACACCTCCACACGCCATGCACCATCGTTATCGCGTAGAGTACCGATCTCCTCACGCAAGGCATTGACCTCATCACGTAACTCCCTTGACTCATCCCGTTGAGGTGGAGAACAGGGAGATAGGAGTCGTGGCATCTTTGCCGGTCGCCTATCATGAGGTGATGGTGGAGAAGAGGCTCGATGATGTGACGGGATAGGTGATGGCTCTCGTTCTAGAGGTGTATAGTCGTCACGATCGGGTGATGGCTCTAGGTGAGGTGATGGCTCTCGAATTGGAGGAAGTGGATGCTGCTCATCATCCGTGCCATCAAAAAAACTCTGACTAGCTTGCCACCAATCAGTGGCAAGCTCTTCCTCCGTGGGTGACAGTCTTTGTAATGGAATGTTGGCCTCCTAAAATATAAAAACTCAAACAAAGTTAAACGTCTACTATTAATAACTTGTTTATATATTATATGAAAGTATTTGTGTTAACTTACATTATTTATTGTGGCATATGGTATTAAGTCTTCCCAATCCAACAGAGTTTTCCTCTTCCAGGAAATAGCCCTGGGAATATCATTTGACGTTTTTATTGCATATGTACGCATGCTGGGGAAAGCCTCGAATATCCAAATCTACAACAATATAATAACAAAATTAGTAATTGTTAAATAATTAATTATAATTTTAGAAACATTATATAGAAATTCTTACCTTAAAGGCCCAAACAAAGCCTGACAATGTGTATTTGGACCCATCGCCCCGCAAACTTTTGCGGTCATCAAAGGCAGACGACAACTTAGTCCAGGTAGCTTTCCATATATACGAACCCCACGGAAACAGATTCCATGCATTCAGGTCCTCTACCAATATTATTAGCTCCCGATGAATAGGTTGTCTGGCCTCTCTGCCTAAAAAGCCGGCATACACAAGTAGTAGAAGGCATACTCGGACAACATCGACGTCTTCCATCCGAGTGAAACCAGCTTTCTTATTAAATAATTTCTTCAGGTCGTCGACATGTAGGTTCGGCTTCTCCATTGACTCATCCGGAAAAACCCGGATAACCATGATGGGCGGGCGATATGACGAGTGTACCGGCCTACATCATCGTGTCCGAATCGTAGACCAGTGATTAAGCAGAACTCCTTCCGCCCAAAGCAAGTATACGCTGGTGGAAAATGAAACCATATCTCTTCCTCACCACGTTGTATACTGTCGGGTAGATTTGATGTCATGGTCTGAAGCCACAAATGGGTCAAATTAGCATCTCCACCCGGATGCTGTACTCTCAGCCATGGCCCGAAGCAGGTTTCCTCAAACAATTGTCTTTGAGCAGGTGAAAGCTTCTTTGCAATTGTAGTGGCCAGGCTGACTTTATTTCTCAAGGTCAATTGAGCCGAAAAAAATTTCTACAAAAACAATAAACATACCAAGTTAGATATACCAAAAACTACACTGTGAAGATATACCAAAAACAATAAACATAAAAAGTAGTAGTTTATTCTTGAAACTAAAATTTGCAACACTGTTTTGTCTTTTGGTTGAAATGAAAATCGCAACGAGAGAATCGCAACGCGAAATGAAAATCGCAACGAGAGAATCGCAACGCGAAATGAAAATCGCAATGCGATTTTGGTTTCGCGTTGCGATTCTCTCGTTGCGATTTCCATTTCGCGTTGCGATTCTCTCGTTGCGACAGTCATTCTCTCGTTGCGATTTTCATTTATCTCGTTGCGACTCTTCTGCAAATTGAAACTTGAATGGATTGCATTACTTCAACCAAAAGACAGAACAAAGACAAAGACAAATACTAACTTGAAAATCGCAACGAGAGAATAGCAACGCGAAATGAAAATCGCAACGACAGAATCGTAACGCGAAATGAAATCTAAGTGAAATGGTTAATCTATTATTGAAATGACCAGTAAACTTATCATCAGTTTCAATATGAGAAACCTACAATAATGCAAACATTTCAAAATAAAAATAATTAAAAAAACTAACCCTCGGAGGTTGATTTTCCATTTCTGAATATTGTGAGGGATTTCTGACCGTGAATGGTTGTGAGGGATTTCGCCGGAGATGGGGACGGAAATCTTCGGAGATGGGGACGGATTTCTTCGCCGTAGAGAGTGAGAGATGGAGATGGGACTGAGTTGTGATTTTAGGTTTTAGGTTATGAGTTGCGATTACGGGATTTTGTCTTAATATTCTTTTTGTAATTTGAAAATAAAATACGCGTAGCGATTATAATGGCGCTTTAAATATCGCGTTGCGATTTACGGATACGCGTTGCGATTTTATGTATTATCGTTGCGATTTACGGATACGCGTTGCGATATACGGATACGCATTGCGATTTACCCATACGCGTTGCGATTTACGGATACACGTTGCGATTTACGGATACGCGTTGCGATTTATGTGTTCGCGTTGCGATTTTTCATATTCGCGTTGCGATTTTGGAAAATCGCAATGCGAATTTGTACTATCGCATCGCGATTTTCAAGAATCGCGTTGCGATTCTGGAAACTGATTTGCGATTCTGGGGATCGCGTTGCGATTTTTATTTCGCGTTGCGATTTTGTTGGTCATTTTGGCAAATCCAAAAAAAGTTGGTTAAAATCGTATATTATAACTTTTTTTTGGTCACTGAGGCGATTTTCTCTAAGTTATATTTTTGTATTATTGTATATTGGGGGGTTGTATCTTTACAATTTTTTATTAGTATTAGTTCAGTATGAAGAAAATGATGTTCACATGAATCAAAGCCTGATTAAAAAAAATTAGAAAAATAACAAAATAAGATATTGATGATGTCTTGTGATTGGTCTCAGCAGGTCAAGTGGATGAACATGCAAAGGCATTGGGGTTTGAGAAACAATGGCTGTGGTCTTCTTTTGTACATAAATTGTATGTGTGTGTTTTTTTATTTCTTAAAAAGGGAATTAAACTGGGAAATGTGGCAAAGAATTAGAGAGGTAGTGGAGAGAAGCAAAGAGAGGTTTGAAGCATTTATGTTCAATACTTTGCTTTCTTTGATTTTGAGGTGTTGTGCAGTTGAATGAAGATCTCTCTGATTTGCCCATTTTCTCCCTTACACGCAGGCAATTCTTCCTATGTTGTAATTACATGCTTGAGAGTTTTGAATAGAATTTCTCACTTTTATATTGATTATTTTTTTTAAATTTAATCAATGAATTTTAGACGTTGAATTTTTTTTATATGATTTATTTTTATATTTTTTATTAAGTAGAAAGGTATTATAATATTAAGATAAATATCAAGATTTGAACTCATACAAGGTGAGATAATATTGTTCTTATTGTCCACTTTATCACCATTTTTAACATCAACCACCATTGCATCCACTGGAACATCAGCAAATCGATATCACTTATACCTATCAAGTTCGCCACTGAACCAACAAGCAAACTAACCACCCACAACTTGAACCATCCCACCACTAAATCGACCATCAACCCTAACTTGAAAGTTCAAAAATCTATCACTGTCTTCATATGATCCCTAAACCCTAACCTATTATCATACCTTTCAACTTGAAATCAATATGCTTCCCCATTTCAACTTGAACTAACATTATACCACACCCATTAAACCATAACTAACCTGGCACCTTTTGCCCCAATCAAGTAAAAGTCCTCACTTGTAAAAGAAAAGTTAGAAAAAAAAAGGGAAGAGAAAGAGAGAAAAAGCTTTTGGTTTTTTTCATTTCTAACAATCGGAGTATTGTTTCTTCGATCATAATAATACAAGGTTCCCTCGATAAGGAAAATGACATATTTCAAGCACACTATGATCTAACGATTAAAATGATAACTAAGATAAAAACAAAGATCGACCTTACAGTGAGATTTCATGGCTTCTGAAAGATTTATGGTGAAATATAATAAGAAGGAAAGAGGAAAACAATAGAAAATCCTTGGTACATGATTTAACTGTCAAAAGTCATTGGAGAATGACGATTTCACACGAGACTAAAAACACCTGATTTGTAGAATTTGGAGTGTTTATCGGTTAATTGAACATCAAATTCATGTTTAGGAGAGTGAAACAAATTTGATGATAAAATTTAAGACTTACTGGTTGTCGTTGGATGACGATCGATGATGGTTGGTCCTGATGAGTGATTTCCATCATCAGTTTTGCTTTGCAAGCACGTCTGTAAACTGTTTCAGCATTATTTAGTAGGCAATTTCATATTGTGAAATCGTTATTCTCCAATGACCTTTCAATTCTATGATACTGTTTTCTTCTTCATTGTTCATTCCCATTATAGTTGTCAGTTGTGAAGTCCGTGAACAATGAAATGTCGAATGAAGTCGGACTTCATTTGACGTTTCATATTGTAGCTGAAATAGTGTGATTTGTAAACACGAAATCCTATTAGAAAACATTTTGAAGCTGAAATTGAAAACAAATATCCAAGTTTTTGACAAAATTTGTTGCGCAATGCTAACTTACAAACAAAGTCTCACATGCGCTGCTGTGCCCAACTTGCCCCCAAGGCATAACAGCAAAAGACATACAACACACCTGAATTAAAGATCAAATTTAGACCGATGGAGCAGATAAAATCGACCTCCTTCACCAAATGTTATATCCAATATACATGCAAAAATGTATATCGTCAGCCTTCGACATGCCTGCGCATCTTTTTCTTTAGTTTGTCCTGCTCCCGGTATCTCTCTTGCCGTTCTTCTCTCCGGCGCTTTCTTAAAACCTGCTCCTCCTTTGCTCTTTGAGCTTCGACTTCTTTTCGTTTTTGCTCCTCCTTCAGCTTCCGCTTCTTCATCTGCAGATTTAAACCGATTTACATCAACAAATGGCTTATTTGAAATTCAAAGGTTGGAAAAACAAATTATAAAAATGGGGCCTGCAGTCTCTATAACCACAAACCTTGTCATTCCTAATCAATTGAAGGTGTTGAACAAGAGCGTGGACTTTTCGTTCGTGAGGCTCCATCACAACAGCTCTTCTATCTTCAAGAAGTGGCCGTTTCCGATGAGGTATGTTCTTGGGCTTTGATTCAAACGGAAGATCTGCCTGTAATGCCTTGGGGATCACCAGGGGATTGAACTTCCTTGGCTTTCTCTCAATTGGCTGTAAAAACACATATACAAATACGCACTATAAAAACAGTAAACATAACGAAATAGTAATAAATCCAAATAAACAAGAAAACCTTGTAGAGGGAATCCTTGTTAACAGGGACAGCAAGATTGTGTTCTCTCCTCAATTCTGCAACAGTTTTCATTCCTTGCCAGGTCTTTTCACGAGGTTGCAACGAGGTAGTTAAAGGGTTATAAAACTGAGGAACTTCAACTTGAGTCCATGCTCGCAAAAACACGATGTCACTCATCAAAATCCGATCCTCAAAGGTGCACCTTGCAATTCCTTCCCTAGGTTGCCCTCCCTTCTTTTGGGTCGATTACCAATCTCTTCCTTTGCTGCCTGAGAATATAAAGTGTCATCAGTTTTTCACAGGTATTTCCTTACGCAGGAGATGGATTTATTTGAATTGTGTTAAGACAACAGAAATTGATTTAATTATGATCATGCCAAAGCAAGATCCTGAGTGGGATTCTTAAGGATGCATATTCTCCACATTTTACCGATTATCTTTAGGGTAATCACAATTACAGATGACTAGTTCATGCTGGTTTACTTGTCTGATGACAGAGTTGTATGAACCACAAGATTCTCAATGTCCATGAACACACATTACCTTTTTCACCTGCCCACGTATCCCACTGACTGTTCGAATTGCTGCACCTTCAAACCGAGCTACTTCAAGATCTGAAGTGAACATATCTTTAATGAGAGCTGTTTTCTTGAATATTTACAGGGGTGCCCAACTAGCTTGATTTTTTTCACTATCCGGGCTGCATGGTTGAACTCAAGTATGTACGCCGTTGCAATGATGCGAAATCCTGCCTGGCATGCCAAAGAAAAGCTGCTTGATGAGTAGCTATAGTACTTGAGCAACAACACTAAGGAAAACAGAATAAAGCAACAAGGGTTTGGGTTTTTAAGGTAAATTTAAAAACCAAATCAAAAAGAAAAAGATAAGACAGTCCGATTGTTTACCATCCATTGCCATCCCTTAGATTAATGATTTGATTTCCATATGATACTGATTAGAGATTCATACAGTTTTAATATCAGAAAGGTTGTTTGTTAGGAAGACTAAACGCGTACAATTCCCACGCAATTCAATGACAACGAAACTATCTAAAGAAGACAGTACTGGAGGATTGCATAAGAGTAAAAATATATTGGTTATGCAATAGCCAAATATTTTATCTATGATTTCACATGCGATTTATGAGAAGAAAAAAGCATAGTATCGAGATTTCACATGTGACCTGATTGTTAGATAAACTCTGAACAGCCAGCACTCCAGTCTTTGGCGGGGCAAGAGGGCCCCAAAACATTGCAAGGCAGTGCATATGTTCTGGAGTATACTTGAGCATCCGATGTCTTCCATTATGATCCTCAATGGCATAAACAGGAGTGGTCTGGTACCGTCTCCATCCAATTGAAACAATTATTGGATCTCTAGTCTTCAGCACTTTCTTGTGCCATCTGTGTCGTTTCAATCTAGTCTAGAAGAAAAAGAAAAACTCTTAGAATGTTCAACAGTATAGAATAAAAAAAACATCAGAATTATAATAGAGATGCTCTGCTAATAAGAATGCATTGTAGATATTGCTACCAATTTGTTTTTCATAACTATTAATTTATCAACTAAATATAAATGCTAAATCTTGCCAAGTTCTATGGTTTCACAACATTCTTTTACTTCAAATCTGGGTTTTCTTATTGAATACTGTTTACTTCTAAACTCTAGTACCAGATGACAGAAAATAGGACCACCGCAAGCTCAAGACAACCAGTAAGGGTTAAAACCACTTAAATATTAGAACTCCCGTTCAAATATAAACCCAGAATAAACAAGCGAAAAAATGAACCTGATACATGGAAAATAAAAAAGGGGACACAAACAAATAAAGCTCAACAGTTTTCTTTCATATGGAGAGGAAAGCAGCCTGCTGTTCAGCAGTGCAATAGCACAATATTAATAAAATGAAGCATGTTCTAACCTGCATGTATCCAACATTTTCCTCACCAAGACCAATTCCTCCAACCAAAATGGGATGGCTGGGATCAAAATACTCTACCATCTCAAAAGGAACATCATGAAACTCCAATCTTAGATACATCCCTGTGCGGAATCCCTCAATTTCTAATCGGGTAGTCTCATCAAGATCCTCGAGTTCTGCTATATTAATTTGCTTCTGGAGTTCAATCTCTTCTTTCAACTGGAAGAACCAAGAAAGATTTATGACTTAAACCTAATATTAGACTATATTTCAGATTAAAAGAAATGTGTAGTCTACCTTGTCATAATAACCACTGTCATTTTCTTGATTGCGGTGAAAATTTCCCCCATGTTGTTTATCAGTTTCCTCTTCTGGTGCTTCAGATCCATCATAAGTAATAAAAGTTAAGGATACAAAGCCAACACAGTTTTCGCCGATACATCCCATACAAACAGAAATCAAAAGCAAACTGTTCATTGAAAGAATAAAAAAGATGCAGTCCAGATAAATGAAGTGGAAGTAACAATCTTGAGCATGGATGAGAAAATACAGACAGCAACAACAGGAGAATGTACCACATTCACCCCACTGCCATTTTACCAGAGCATTAACAGGAAGAGATGATCCCAATAGGCAGAAAATAAGAATATAAAGTGCAACACTCAAAGTAGTTTAGCTAACAAAAGGATATTGAGAATCAAATTTTGCACGGAGAGCTAGCTTTTTTAACCTCCGCTCCTCAATTGCATGATCATCTTCCTTTAGGATTTCACCATCACTAGAATCATCTTCCTTATGACTTCCGAATTTCTCACCAGTTTCTAGATCTTCAAAGTCACCATCCTTATCATCTTCTTCTTCAGTTCTAGCTTCTGACATTCGATTCCTGAGGGCACCCTTAGACCAATCACCAGTGGTGAAACGATCACGAACACTCTCATATACTTCTTCCTCTTTCCAGTTCTTAAGTTCTGAAAAATTAGTGGATTTGGAACAGTCCTCAGTGTTGATGTTCCCACCATCTAATCCTTCTTTCAAATTCTACAATAGTAAAAAATAATATTGGAGTTTACAAAAAATGAGAACAAATATGATGATCAATGGGAATGCACACTCAAATTGCAACTCTTCTGAAATTGTATATAAGTTATGCAACATATAACATCCAGGACACACCTTTTCCTTTTGTCCTTTTGGCTTAAAAAATTCATCTTCGTCACTTTCTTCATTCTCAGAATCATCCTGCACTTCGTTAACAGAAGCATTTGATGTCGATGCAGATTTCCCATATACAAGTTGCATTAGATTTATATTCTGTTTCTTAGATGCCCTTTCCACCAATGATGCTCTCCACTTTGATATGTTTCCCATGCCACCTTCTAGAAGGACAATATGAAAATTGCATTTAGAAGTAAAAGAAGATGGAAGAAAATATCAAACATAATGATTAACCGCGTTAGAAATTAAACAACTGAAAGAGACTCTATCTAGAGATGTCATGGGCTGGGTCCTATCAAATATGACATTTGAAAAGCTGTGTGAGCCAGGAAAACAAGTTTTTTATTAGTATTTTTATATTTTTGAATCAAAAAATAAACAAGTTCTTATTTACCAGTAAAACAATTTCAGGCCCAGCATGGCTCAGGCATAAATTTAAGCCCATGACTGGCCCAAGCAGGCTGAGATAATGAGCCTGGCCTTGGGTGTATAGGCCTACCCTTGGACAGCTATATATGTAGTCAAAATACATAACAGTGCTTTATACATAACATAATTTGTACCAGCACACGGCTTATAGTATACTGTCTACCAGTGAGAGAGCATACATGTAGAATCAAAATATACATAACTATGAACAGTACCCGCAGACTTCAGATCCTCATTGTAACTATCTGAAAACTCTGAACCCGAACATGACTCGGCATCTTCATTGCTTCCGCCATCGTCCTCTTCGTCGTGATCATCATATTTGTCATCTTCATTCTCTTCATCTGTACCCTGCAGTAAAGTTAGTTTAAGAAAATAAGGTTTTCCCACCAATAATACCTTAATAACACACATTGGAGAGAACAAGGGGGGGAAAGGATGTGATTTCATGACTCTTCCACCTACCTGGTGTAAAAAGAAAAAGAAAAAAAAACTTGAGTTCTTTGAAAACAAGCAAAAAGAATCATCATTAAATACCTTGAGATTACTATGATCAATGCCATCTCCAAAGATTGCTTTTCTCCTTTTTCTACCACTATGAAATTCAACCTGTTCCTTAACTCGACCCAATCGCTCTGATGCATCAGCATTTCCATCATCAAAATTCCTACCTTCACTTTTCTGCATTGCATCTTCTTCAACACCTTCATCTTGGTCTGAAGACTTTGAATCATCCAGATCACTATCAGCACTTTCTTCATCAAACTCACTATCATCTTCTTCTCCATCAGACTGGTATCGTTCGAAAGGCTCTATGTCACGAATTAGCTTTGCAGCTTCATCAGAATCCGTTTTGTGACCTTCAGCTTCCAACAAGTTATTAAGATTCTGACTAAAAAGGGAAATTGTACTCTTTTCCAACTTCTCATCAATTGGGTTCTTTATATTCTGAAGTGATTTCACCAAGGCCTCACCAACATCCCATTTATTTCCTGACAACAGAAAGAAATCAGTGAGATACTATAAGATGCCTTCAACAACAGGGAGAAAATTTAACATGAAAGAGATTATAAACCTTTATGTGTTGTTCCCCCCATTTCATCCACTTTAGAATACTGAACAAAGTGGTCATTAATGTTTATGTAGACCGCGTCTTTGTCATACAAGAGATCCCCAAGTCCAGACATGGGGGCATAAAAAAGTTTCTCTTTGTCACGCAGTCCCTTCTTTTTTGCAGCTGATGGTAGAGGGCAAGGATCAGATAGGCCTGTAACACCAGCTAAGCTAAAGTCGCCAACACCAGCAATATGCATCTGATCACAAATTTTATGCGAAGCTTAAGTCATTTCTTGGATTGGATATAACAATAAATCATTTTAAAAATAAAAATAAAACAAAAACATCAAATTTATTAATGAGAATATAGATAGTGGACACTACTACTAAATGGAGCAAATAAATGAAAACAAGTAAAACAGCTAGATTGCCATCCATGCAAAATGTTGACTTTAAAAGATTTAACCAGGATCAAACTCATCCTGAGAGTTTCACCATGGTGTGTGTGCATGGGGGGTTTTCAGCAAATTTTTGAAGTACTTGAAACTTTTGCACTATTTGAAGATTAACAAATATCAGAACTAAGTATTAGGATAATTATTCACCTGAATTAGATTTCACCCCAAAAAGCACATAAAATTCATAAATCAACATACCAGTTGTTGTGGACATAATTTAAAAAATATTGATTTTCACACCAATCAGTTTACATGACATGTAACCCAAAAAAATAGAACAAAGAAATAAAGAAAACAACAACAAATCAGTGAACACTACTCAACATGAGCACATTGGAAGCTCAAACTCGTATTGTTGACTAAAGAAATGGGTTAATAACAAATTATCCAAAAGAAAATAAATGTTTGACTGGTCATTATCAAGATAGGGATATCCCTAGTGAACCAATCTTGGGAGTATAGCATGATGCATTTTTTTTTAAACATCAAGTTCATCAACTATGGTGATGATGCTTTCGCTCATGGGAAACTTGATACTGATATGAGGCCACTTCAACCAAGTTAGTGAGGATCCAAAGCTATTCTAGCAACATGTTATATATTTACCGGATATCCATACACAAATTACATGCTAAGAAACCATATGGTTATTCTAATAAAAATGGTAAAGGCTGGGGAATGTGCAATCTCAAGATTTAGGACATAATGGCAATAGAAGATGCCATCTTCACAGGTAAAAGCTTTTAATCTTTAAAAATACCCAACAATTTAAGAAGCAGCATAGTGATGACTGTTAGAAAAGATTCATAGGGCATACCTTAGTTCCCTTTTTCAAATTACAGCCTCGCAAATAACCATAAAGTGTAACATTTCTATCGCATTTATTATTTATTTGCACCCTCTCGGGATGAGTAACATCTTCAAAGCGATCAACCAAGATATACGGATGAGAGGTCCTCCATGATAAAGGAGGGAACTTCATAACAGATATAAATCTGGCAAGATTGTGAATTTCTCGCTTTGGATACCTGTTAGATAAGTCGGAGAAGCAAAAATAAATCACAATTAAACTTATTAAAGCTGCCATTGAATTTCACCAGTGAGTGTAGTCAAAATAGAATCTTAGGTAGGACACTTACTTCCCATGAATGAGACCAGATAAATAAAATAATTTAGCTCCATCATATATTTCTGTCCAGAAACGATGTTTGAGACGCTGTTTCGTTTTTTTCAGTTTCTTTACGTCCTTAAACTTATCAAGGTGAGTAAGAACCCCCATCACCTTCGGAAAACCATGAACTTGCAATATGTTAAGGAATTCAAATGTTTCCTACAAGATACCAAAAAAGTAGTTAAAAATATTAGAAAAACTCATAGATAACTCATCAAGATATTCTAGCAGTGGATTGTCATCTTCTAAAAGTTCAAGCAATGGAAAGCATATCAAATATATTCAATAACTCACCATTTCAAAGCCAAAACTTCCGTCAATAAGAAGCAATGCTAGATCAGCAAACTTTGCAGCATCAATCATGCCATTGATATCATTTGGACACTCAACAAACTGCAGACGCCGCTGCTTGCCTAACAAATTCAACAAATTCGATATCAAACAACAAGCAACTTAACTACTTTTTCTAATCCAGATGAAAAGTAAATGTATATAAATATATAAAACTACTACAATTTAGGGAAACACCAACCTGATACTATTGTTATTGGTCCTCGAACCTCAGGTAAATTATGCTTTGTGTAATGCTTTACAAGAGTCTTAATTAAAAGAGACTTCCCAACCTGCAATAAAGTAAAACTTTCAACAATTATTAACCATATAATCATAGAAAAAGACTTCGAGGTGATACCACCTAGAGTTGATTGCACACAACCGCACAGAAAATCACTGAGTTTGCAAACATCTGAAAGTAGGCATGGAATAGCATTGGGAACAAAGAATTTCCAATATTTTCTAGGCTGCAGGTCTATATTCAGGGTTCTCTACTTGATAACCTTAAAGACCAATAATTTCAAATTCAGCATTTTAAATCTAATCTATGATGCTATTTCTTACAAATTCCATCAATATTAATAGAAAATTCTTCCTCACCACCACCCAACTCTCTCTTTCCAAAGTTTCTTCACTGTATAAAACGTATTCAAAAGTGAGAAATGCCATACTTATATCAAAGCTCCTTACAAAACAATGAAATAAACTCCTCTGTACAGTAAAATCCCGTCAAAGTGAAAGATAAAAAGAGGAAATTAGGACATCCTCAAGTTTTAGTTTTCACACCAAAATTAGGTTAAACAGCTCTATTTCTTCTTCATCAACAGTTTTCAATGACATAGATGTTTCATTGGTCCAGGATGTTAGCAAAACACTTTAAATGCCCTTATAATTTTCATTTACACTCTATGTAATAGGCAGCTCTTGAACAGCCTAGTTCTTATAAGGACATACCAATTTATATATCCTAAAAGGAGAACTAAATTCAAAAACTCCGATGTTCCAAACAAAATATCATCAATTACTTTTCCTTTGATTCCAGAAAATCATGACAATAATAAAGAGCAATCCTGGCAGTAAGACATTACCTGAGGGGGGCCCTGCACCACGACCACAAATGGAGGCAGTTCGCTATAGGAACGATCCATAACAGGAAGATGAAGCCTACGCTGTTCTTTCTCAACAGCACGTGATTGCAATCGCTTCGCTTTTGCATTGGAACGAAAGGCAAACGCCTAATATAAAAATCAATTTCAAAAAGGAAAAAAAAGTCTTAAATTATTAGCTCAATCAAAAGTGCAAACTCATAGAGAGAGAGAGAGAGGAACCTTAGGGTTTTGCTGCTTCTGATCCGAGTTTTGATTCTTGTTTTTGTCTTTAGCTTTCTTTTTTGCAGAGGCGCCCGATTGGCGAGAACGGTGAGCCCTGTGCGACTGCTCGCTGGCGCCGCTATCCATGGCCATGGCGGCTTCTTGGGGAAGAGAAAAGGGAGTGGCAGTGATCTGCAACCACTAATGTTGTTAATGGGACAGATGAGGAAAAACAAGCAACTCCAGCTCTTATGAGGGTTTTAGCTGGGGTTCGCGGACTTTTATTCTGGGTTTTGCTAAGTAGGTTAATTTACCACTCGTATTGTTCTATAAATTTTCAATTATCTAATACCAATAATAAATAGTTTTAGTAAAATATTTTTAATTATTAAATTATAAAAGAGTAAATTTATGATAACTATTTATTTATATCTTATTTAATTGTTTATGTGCATTTTTAATAATACTTAAATGAGTTAATTATATTATACGTTTTTAATTTGTGAATCTCATTTTAAATTGATTCTTAAACTTTTGAAAATTCTAGATTATCTCCAAATTATTTCTCTCGTTTTAAATTAGTTTTAAACTTTTGAATATTTCAAATTCATCCTTGAATTGTAAACATCATTCTAAATTAATTCCTAAACTTTTAAACAATCCAATAACATCCCCATAGTCATTTAAAAGTTTAGGGATGAATTTGAAAATTTTAAAAGTTTATAAATTAATTTAGAATGAAAATTATAGTTTAAGGATCAAATTGAAATGTTTTAAAGTTTAAAATTTAATTTAAAATAAGAGTTATAGTTTAAGAATGTATGATACAACTTAATTTAAATCTTACTATTTAACCATAGTTACTCAAAACAACATGAAAGGTTAACAATAAGAAATCAAAATTAATCATAATGTCATGTAAGGTTGACATCAGTTTGTTTAATTTATAGAATTGGGTCGTTTAGGTATGTATTTAAGTTCGAGTTCGATTTTAAATATGGAACTTGATATTTTATTTGAGTTTGTTTGAACATTCACTTTTAAGTTTGAGTTCAGCCCAAAATATAACCAAATTATTCAGTTTTGAACTTTTAGGGGGTGTTTGGTTCAAGGAATGTGGGATTCCCATGGGATGGGAATCCAACATTCCCATGTTTGGTTGGCCGGGAATCTCATTCCCGGTAATGTTTTATTACCAATAGTAGATTTTTTGGGGTATATTACCGGGAATGTCATTACCTCCCTTCCCTTAGGTATTGTAACATTACCGGCATTTTGGACTAAAATGCCCTTAAATTTTTATTTTTTTTCAAAAATATCCTTCTTCTGTCATTGAATAATAAAAATTCTACGAATGTTAAATTACAAATTTATCCTTAAATTATTTTAGATTTACAAAAAAAAATCTATAATTAAAATTTTATATGAAGTTTAGGGGTTAAAAAAATTTTACATTTTCATTAAACCTTTTTTATATTTTTAATTTTGTAAAAATATTATATAAATATTATGAATTTAATTTTTTAAAAAAATATATAAATATTTTACAATTTGTAATATTATAAAAATATATAATAATAAGGACAATTTGGTCAAATATACATTCCAATAATCTTTTATTCCTTTAACCAAACACGGTAATCTTACATTCCTGCTAAACCAACCAAACACAAAATACAACATTCCCAGTAATCCTATTCCTTGGTAATCTTTTATTCCCACTGGTAATCTTACATTCCGTGAACCAAACGCACCCTTAGAGTATGTTTGATAAACTGATAACAACTTTTTGAAAATTAATTACGTTTTCTAAAAAACAAGTTTTAGAAATCATTTTTTGATGTTTGGGTGATGTTGTATATATCATTTTTCGTTGTTTAATATGTTTTCCTAAAAACAATTGCAAAACGTGTTTTTAGTGAAACAAAATATATTATAGATTTTTATTATTTGATTACCTTAATTATACCTAATATGATAAGAAATCTTTATGTAGTTTGATAAGTTATCTAAATATTATACATATTTTAACAGGATTTTAAAAAGAGAAAATCGCCTCAGTGATAAAAAATGTCTTATAATATACTATTTTAACCAATTTTTTTTGGATTTGCCAAAATGACCAACAAAATCGCAATACGAAATAAAAATCGCAACGCGATCTCCAGAATCGCAAATCAGTTCCCAGAATCGCAATGCGATAGTACAAATTCGCATTGCGATTTTCCATAATCGCAACGCGAACATATAAATCGCAACGCGATTCTGACTATCGGAACGAGTATCCGTAAAATCGCAACGCGTATCCGTAAATCGCAACGTGAATACGTAAATCGCAACGCGTATATGTAAATCGCAACGAGAATACGTAAATCGCAATGCGTATCCGTAAATCGTAATGCGAAAACGTAAATCGCAATGCGAATCTGTAAATCGCAATGCGAATCTGTAAATCGCAACGAGATTCTGACTATCGCAATACTGAATTTCAAATTCGCAACTCGATTTCTGAATTCGCAACAGGTTTTAATTTCGCAACACAAATGTTTTGGGTATATAACTACGCAGCAGCAGCAACTCATAACCTAAATCCCTAAATCGCAACTCATTCCATCTCCATCTATCACTCTCTCCGGCGACATCCGTTCCTATATCCAACGACATCCTTCCCCATCCGGCAATAGGTTTTAGTTTCGCAGCTCGTTTGTTTAGTAAATTAATTTACAATAATGAAATCATCTAATGTTGATCATGTTTGGATAGATTTGTGTTTTGGAGGGTCATGGGAGAATGTTCATGGTGTTTTACAATATATGCCTTTACACATGAATCTTCAACTAAAACTGTCATTAAAAAAGTTAACTTATGAAACTCTAATGTTACGTGTTACAAATAAATTGAATTTAGAGCCCCTAAGTGGATTTAGGCTATCTTATCAGATAAATGGTAAAGTTTATTTGTTAACCGACAATGAAGATGTTGAACGATTCATTGCTTAGATTAGTGTTTCAAGTGATGATGTTACATTGTATGTTGTTAAACCTAGAAGTAGTGAAGTTGGGTCAGTATCGGGTGAAAGCTTCGAAGCAATTGTAATGGCTAGGCTAACTTTATTCCTTAATGTCAATGAAGCCGAAAAAAATTTCTACAAAAACAATAAACATACCAAGTTAGATATACCAAAAACTACACTGTGAAGATATACCAAAAACAATAAACATAAAGAGTAGTAGTTTATTCTTGAAACTAAAATTTGCAACACTGTTTTCTCTTTTGATTGAAATGAAAATCGCAACGAGAGAATGAAAATCGCAACGCGGAAATGACTATCGCAATGAGAGAATCGCAAGGCGAAATGAAAATCGCAACGCGAAATGAAAATCGCAATGCGATTTTGGTTTCGCGTTGCAATTATCTCGTTGCGATTGTCATTTTCGTGTTGCGATTTTCATTTTCATGTTGTGATTTTAAGTTTAGAAACTATTCTTCTTCTGCAAATTGAAACTTTAATGGATTGCATTACTTCAACCAAAAGACAAAACAAAGACAAATACTAACTTCACAGGGTTAAAGACTAAACAGTTTAGCAGTATTGGCAGCAATCGAATGAATTTAATAAGAAATCTAAGTGAAATGATTAGTCTATTATTGAAATTACCAGTAAACTTATCATCAATTTCAATATGAAAAACCTAAAATAATGTAAAATTTTCAAAATAAAAATAATTAAAAAAACTAACACTCGGAGGTTGATTTTCCATTTCTGAATGATTGTGAGGGATTTCTGACCGTGAATGGTTGTGAGGGATTTCGACGGAGATGGGACGGATTTCGCCGTAGAGAGTGAGAGATGGAGATGGGACTGAGTTGTGATTTTTTTAGGTTTTAGGTTATGAGTTGCGATTACGGGATATACTGTGGACGGTTCAATGTTATGATTTTCTCTAATTAATATTCGTGTTTGGAATTTGAAAATAAAATATGCGTAGCGATTATAATGGCGCTTTAAAAATCGCGTTGCGATTTACGGAATCGCGTTGCGATTTTACGTATTGTCGTTGAGATTTACGGATACGCATTGCGATTTACGTATTCTCGTTGCGATTTACAGATACGCGTTGCGATTTACGTATTCTCGTTTGTAGATGCTCGATTTTGTCCGGGGCTAGGACAGAGTAGACCCGAAGCAGAGCAATTGGAAGCCCAAACCAGATGAAGATCCAACTCAAGACCAATTGACAACAGTTTGATGCAGAAAAAGAAAGAGATTGAGGTTGGTTTTTAGCAGTTGAAATAATTAGATAGTGGGGATTAAAAAACTGTAAATAGTCAGTTTAGAGGGAACAGGACAAAGGATTACAGATAAAAAAAATATAGCAGGCATTACGGGGGAAAAAACAGAAAAGAAACAAAGGAAGACTAAGAAACACAAAACAACACAAAAAAAGGAAAAAAACGACCAGAAACGGGGGGGAAGCAGAAAATTGGATCAACTATCAGCGATTTTGCATATTGAGGGAATACGAAAGGAAATCACAGTGTAATCATACAATTCAAAAATAGATAAAGCAATAAAGGTACATTTCTCCTAGGGGTTCTTCTCCAATTTTCTTAATTTTCCAGTTCGTCCTTTTGTTTTATGCATGTGTGATTGTTTTTAAGATTAAAATGTTGAAAGGGATTGGGACTTACCTATACTGCTCGAGCCTAAGAAAAAGAAGGAGTCTCGTCGGCTTCATTTGTTCTCTGTTTGGGTTCAGTAGTCAATAAAAAGTGTGAGATTTAGTTTAACAATACCAAAATAAAGAAAGTAAAGAAAGGAAAGGAAGCGAGGCAGTACCTTAGGGTCGAACAGTAGAGATCAGAGTGTAAGGGTCTCAGGGTTGAGAGTTTAGGTTTGCTTGAGGTTTGCCTGTCGAGATTAACTAGGGTAGATTTAATCTTCATCGGAGCTTGCGACGACTTTGTGTGGTCGTGGGTTCGTAGGAGGGGATGAGAGGCTCGGTGGCGTTCATGGATCGAAGGTAAGTATAAGGATTTTGGCTCTCGGCTAGAGTTGTGTGCGGCCAAACCCTCGTCGGGTTTAGGTGGTGTTCTCATCGGAGTCGAGCGTAGGAGAGGGTGAGAGGCTTGGTGGCGTTGGAGCTTCCTTAGGCTGTGAAGGCGATCGTGAGTGAGGAAGAAGGGGGCGGTTGAGAGTGAGAGAGAACGGTGAGGGATCTGTTGGGTTTAGA